CATTGCCAGCGGGAGGCTGCAGGGGCAGCCTCTGTGTGGAGAGGCTGGGGCTGCCCCATGCCAGACACAGTCAGTTCCATGCAGCTCCAACAGACCCACCACAGGGCATGGCTCAGCCCAGCAGCCAAGCTGGTGGCCCCTCTGGGAAAACATGCTTTAAAAGGGCAAAAAGCTGCCCAGCAGTGAGGACTGATGAACAGCCCTGTGAACAGCAAGGTCAGAGAAGAGGGAGAGGGAGGAAGAGCTGCTCCAAGTGCTGGAGCAGACATTACCCTGCAGCCCATGGAGAGAACCATTGTGGAGCAGATTGATTATTTCCTGACAGGAAATGCAGCTGGGGGAGAGCCCACACTGGGCCAAATTTTTTCCTGAAGGACTGCAGCCCATGAGCAGAGCCCGTGCTGGAGCAGGGGAACAGTGTGAGGCAGAAGAAGTGGCAGAGGGGAGCTGTTATAGACCAACCCCAACCCCATTGCTTAGGGTGGAGGAGGCCGAAGAATGATGGAGCGAGGCTGAGCCTGGGGGAAAAGGACTAGGGGGAAGGTGTTGGTTTAATCTGTAGGTTTTCTGTTTCTCACTATCCAAATCTATTTTAATTGGCAAGATACTAATTTTTTTCAAGCTGAATCTTTTGCCCATGACAGTAGTTGGCAAGTGATCTCCCTGTCTTTATCTCAGCCCCATGAGATTTTTCATCCTATTTCCCCTCCCTGTCCTGTTGAGGAGCAGGACTGAGAGAGTGGTTGAGTCAATGTCTGCTAGCCAGCCAGCCAAGGTCAACCCACCATAAATATTTAGATGCCTATTTTGATGTCCATTTTAAAAGCTTCTAACAAAATCTTTAGCGTTGGTATAACTACAAATAGTTGCAAAGAAGGCAAAAGCCAAGCAGTTTTGGGAAGTTATGCTAACAGGATATGTTACAGCTAACACCAAATGACAATCTGTTAACATTTCACTCAAAACTTTTCACTTATTCCATTAAAATCACTATTGGGAAGTTCATTAGGATTTATTTCATTAAGTCATTTTGAACAATATCCACAAACTTTCACTGTCAGATATTTCACTCACCTTAACAATTCATACTTTCTACTACAACTGGCATTACATAACCCAGGAGTCTTCTTCTAAAGACAAGAGTGAGGTAAGGGATGAGTGGAAGTCTGAAGCAAGGAAGACCTACCCTCAGCAGAGGAGCAATACATTGGGGAATGCTTAACTACACACACACAAGTCCATGAGGTCTCAGGTGCTGACAGTCATTTCAAGGCCACCCTCTGTTATCTTCAAAAGGTTGTGGCAACTGAGGGAGCCTTCTAAGCACTGTAAGCAAGCATAACCACTCATATCTTCAAGGGTGGCAAGGAAGAACATCTAGAGAACTACAAACCAGTCAGTCTCCCCTTAATCCCTGGGAAGGTGATGGAGCGACTAATCTGGAAATAATTTTCAAACTAGTAGTCAGCACAGATTTATGAAGAGGAAATCATGACTGACCAACCCGAGAGTCTTCTACAGTGAAGTGACTGGCTCAGAGAGTAAGGGAAGAGCAGTGAACGTTGTCTATCTTGACTTCAGCAAGGCTTTCAACTCTCTCTCCCATTATATCCTCACAAAAGGATGAAACATAGAACAGATGACCTCAATAGGCTGGAGAAAATTGCATACAGGAACCTCATGAAAGTCAATACAGCACAATGCCACCAAGCCCTGCAAACAGGGAGGAATAATCCCTGGCACCAGTACATACTGGGGGCCAACAGCTGGATAGCAGCTCTTCAGAAAAGGACCTGAGGTCCTGATAGACCATGAGTTGACCATATAAGCCAGCAATAAACCCTTACGGCAAAGAAGGCCAACAACATCCTGGGTAGCATTGTAAGAGCATTGCCAGCAGATGGAGGGAGTTGAGCCTTCCTCACTACTCAGCACTAGTGAGACAAACTCTGGGGTCCTGAGGCCAGTTCTGGACCTATTGGAGCAGCTCTGGAAAAGGGCCACAAATTTGACTAAGGTATTGGAGCACCTGTCTTACTAGGAGACACTGAGAGAGACGGGCTTGCTGAGCCTCAAAGAGAGAAGGTATGGGGGGCAAATCTTGTCAATGTGCATAAATACCCAATGAGGGGTGGGGGGAGTAATGAAGGCAGAGCCAGACTCTTCTAATGGTGGCTAGTAACAGGACAAGACACAATGGCCACAAACTGAAATTTAGGAAATTTTGTTTCTACTTACGAAGAAACTTTTCTACTCTGAGAGTGGTGAAATACTGGCACAGGTTGCCCAGAAAGACTGTGGAGTCTCTCTCCATCCTCGGAGCTACTCGAAACCCAAGTGGACACTGCTCTTAGCAACCCATTCTAGTTGACTCTGCTTTGAATTGGGGTGTTGGACTAGATGATGTCCAGGCATCCTTTCCAGCCCTCACCATTCTGTGATTATTTCCTTCTTTTCTGTCAGAATTAATAGTCACAGCAGAGTTTTAATTTTTAATATTTTCTTTCCAGTCCATGAGCTTGAAGCATGAGCTTTATAGGTAGATATACAAAAGTGTTCTGTGATGGTTGTCCCTGGACCACATAAGACAAGTGCATTAGAAATTAATAAAAGGGATCAAGAAACAAAAAAAAGCAATAGACTTAAGCCATACTCTACTAAGTGGTAACCTGAAACCTACTGCAGGACTTAAGCAAGCAGTGTTACCCATTCTTTTCTGAATGTTCTACTCAGAGCAGGAAATATTTTCCTTACTGATTTTATTATATTGGAGGTGAGACATGTAGCAGCAAACACAGAAAGGATGCTGTCCCTCTGGTTTTTTTTTTTTTCTTGCAAGTTGGCTAGTTAATCCATGGGAATGGAGTCATGAATGCATTACACACACTGTCCCACTGTAAGTTTTCACTGACACTAGTGGAACTGTCCCTTATGTTTACAGATACATGAAACTGGAATTCAGTTCAACATGAAACCTATACTGAGAATCAACCCCTCTGTTAGCCACTCCTTCAAGCAATATATTGGATTTCAGACAATGACATCCTATGATTTTACTGAAAAATACCTCTTATAGATAGCCATCTTTCCTGGAAGTTCAGGCTTCACTGGGAATCCTGGAAGACACGATGGCTCAATAACTCATGCAATAAACCTCTGAGGAAGGTGTTTATTATACTCCTTACTGTGTTCCAATCCATGTAGCCAGTCAATATATAGGAAAAGTGACTTGCTTAAGATGAACGACTGACTGTGATTTCAGCTCTAAGCTGGGCTCTTCAGTGAGTGAATTCAGCACTGGCACTTATAAGTTAAGCAGGTTACATAATTTTGGCCACCAAAGCAAAAGAATCTCTGGACAACATTATGGCATTTTTACAGGAAATTAAAATTCAGGTATTTTGGATTGTCATGTGTGTAAATGAGACACAAACCAAAAGGGGCCAACTTTGAAAACATGTAAATTTTAAATCTTCATGAAAACAGACAACCACAAAATGAAAGCAAAAAAATTCAAGCATCCTGGATGCAGACTGGAAACTTCATAACAATAAATATTTGTAAGAATGGCTGGAAAAATATTTACATTTTTCCATCATAATAAATTTCTCAGTTTTATTTAATAATCAGACTTTGCTCCACAGAACTAAATAAGGCAGTAATCACCATGAGACAATCTGTGCTCCAGAAGGTCAAGTAAACATTGTCAAGAACATAATTCAAATAGTCACAGTGTTATTGAAAGGGACTTTGGTACATTCATACTTTCTGACATATTTACTGAACTTCAAGAAAAGAAGATAGACAAACATATTTAAATGTCGCTTTCTTCAAGTCTTACAGTAATATCCTGGGTTTTACATGCAAAATGAACCTCTCTTTATTTTATACAGTATTTCAATATAATAGTGGCTTTCACTTAAACAACAAAATTTTTTTATCTCTAAGCAGAATAAACAAAATACAGCAAACCCTGACCTAACAGGATTTCCTTAAATTCAACCATCTACCTACAAGTAAGGAGTATTTCCCTGAAGACTCTGTCAAGCATTAGAGGAAGCTGCTAGCTGTGAATTTAGTAACTTTCAGAAATTTCCTGAATAGGGAAGCACCTTAATATCCTTGCTTTTCAAAGAGCAATAAACCTTTTCACATAAGCTACATTTCACTTCCAAATTACTGTTTCCTGATTAGACACATCTAGCGGGGGCAGCGGATATTTCTTGTGTTAGTAAAGCTATGCAACCGGATCAACACTAAGACACAATAGACTCAGTGAATGCTCTTTCCTCACAGAATATGTAAGGCAATAATACTTAGGCTAATCCTCTTATGCCAGTATGTACAGGAAATTTAGGCCTGGATGAGACTTGTTCAAAATTCAGTTACTAACACAGGATGCACATTCAGCAAATCAGAGCAGACTGGACTTGTCAGAAATAGCTTTAGGTATACTTTTAACCTGCCTTCAAACTGGGAACGGATTTCATGACTGCCTGCAGTCCCTCCTGGGACTTTTTGTATCATAATAGATTATATATTTCAATGGCTTAAAATAAGCAGGGGGTTTTGTTTGGGTTTTTTTTAATGCTTATTCAGTACTGAATTAGAACTGAATTAGTACTGAATGAGTACTTCCATGACTTTTATAAGAAGGGCTGCTAGATTAGACTGTAATCCATTATTTAGTAAGAAAAAGAGTAAAGTTATTTGGAAAAGGGATTAACAGTCAGGTGTTTTTACTTTCAAAAAGATTTAATCTATTTATTTCTCTTCCAGGCTGAATTAAACTGTTTTCATCCAAGTAAAGCTTGGTAAAATTAGTCTAGGTAAGATCAAAATATCAACAAAACTAGTTAAAACAATAAAGCACATAAAGATGGTGAAAAACAGGAAGCTTTTATCAAAAGACTTCACAATTTTGAAATTCCTATATAGTACAAAACAGAGAGATAACTAATGCAATGACCAAGGTGATACAAATACATGCTTCATCTTACTTGTCCAAGGCTGTGCTGGTAGGCATGCTCCTGCCAAATCCTCGGACACCCATCTGACAAAAGTATGGAATGCAAGACAGATTGGCAGCAATTATAGCCAATGAATCCGATGCGTTAACAAAGAAACCATTTTGGCCAAGGATCATGTAGCGGTCCTGGAGGAGAAAAGAAATTCAAAAAAGCATCTTAAATGTCATGCTTTGGGGAGTGGTAATTGCTTTTATTAGATCCGCTGTAGGTAGGGAAAAAAAGAACAGGCTTTGGGTTACTCGCATCCCTCTTCAGGCAGAATAATTTATTGGCATCATCCTGGCAGGTTTATAGTCTCGCTATCACAGCATCACTCCCTCCAGCCTCGCAAGTCAAAGCTCCAGATCAGTCCCAAGCTTCTGGAGAATCTTTTTGCCAATGACACACACTATATGCGGAGTAGGAGGGTGTTTTGTGTTTACCAACAACAGAAAACAGCTTCTCTTCATAACCTTTTCATCTTTCTCCCACCCTGTCAGGACAGAAATTTGTTTGTGTAATACTCCGCTGTTTATAATGCTGATAATAAGACATAAAAAAATTAAAACAAAGATTATGATTCAGTGCTTTACTTAGCTAAAAATCCCTCAATTTACAATGTTAGCCAAAAAGGACTTAGTTACTACTTACTGTGACAAGTCCATATTATCTATATAGGCTGTCTCTTCCTAACCAGGGAATAAGAGCTTTACACCAGTATGAGATAAAACTAGCCTAATATTTAAAGAATTCTCATTCTGCATTCAAATTCTGCTTGATTGGCAGTCATCTGCAGAGACAAATTACAACATATGTGTCTGATTTATGGGTTGCAAATGCTATCATCTGTACCTGAAAGCAGTATCACTTTCAGCTTCAAGGGCTTACTGAAAAGCAAATAAATTATACTTACATGTCCCATATCTGACCCCAGACAAAACAACTATGGTGAAACCTCCAGACAGATCAAAATACTTACTCCGTCAGCATCAAAAGCAGCTCCAAATCCATACTCGCCACCTCTCATAGCCTCCAGCAAGGCAGTTGCGTATGTTAAATTGGGATCAGGAGGCTGTCCACCAAAATCCTCCAGAGGAATACAGTTTATGGCAGAATTTGCAGGAGCTCCCAATTCATCACACAGGATTCTTCTCACATAAGGTCCCATAACTGCAAAAACAGAAATCTGCCATGCAGTCACAAAAGCGTATGCTTGACATTCAAATTTTTCACAGCACCGTGGAGACTTGATACAAAACATACTTTCAGCAATTCTATACGTCTGTCCTAGCAACAAAAACCAAACTATTATTTCACAGAGGACTATGTGATTGTCCCCCCAGTAAATAATAAACCGGAAATTCAGCATTAAAAATTTCCCACTAGCGGAAGTGAAAAAGTAATCACCAAATGGTGAAAGATGCGAGTTTTATTCATCCATTATTAAGTAAAAAAAAAATCATACACATAGAGGGTTTTTTCTCACTAGAATAAAAATAAGATGCTATTCTATGTGTCCTGGGATGTAAACAACAGTTTAACACATAACAGCAAGGAAAGTAAGCAGTAGGGGAATACAAATGGGAAATAAACTTATCTCAACATTCCAATTCATGTCAAAATTACTACAGGTTTGTCCACCAAAGAATTTTACCACATTTTAGTTATTACCATGTAGATAATAAAAACCTTCTCAAAACTAATTCCAAAATAAATTCTTTATTTTGTTAAATATATGGCCAACTAAGACCCCAGCTCATGCTATTATGTATCGTTATTATTATATGCAATTGGCGACTGAACGGACCCTAGCAACTGACTGAGCTCTCTGCATCCCTGAGGCAGGTGTGGACTGGTCACTCAAGAGGTAAAAAATTTGTGAGTGATTGCTCGCTCACTCGTGCTTTCTCTGTCTCCTACCTTACTCCCAAACCTTGCTAACTGGAGCTACTGTAACCTGAGGTAAACCTATGTGAGAAACTTGTATTCAAGAAACTTTAGACGCTAATTCTGTAAAATATATAGTACAATGATTCGGGTTCTTACCAAAAGTAATTACTCTTTTCTGTGACAGTGCTACACTATCAATGTCTACAAGCATAAAAGTGTATTCCAGAAGTGCAGAGCTAAAACAAACTTTGGAAGACAGTTTGTCCACATACACATGTGGTCCTCTCTAACTCTCACTACATTGTGGCTGGTGACTTACTTTTGGCTAATGCATCTCATCCAGAAAGTCTTTTGATCTGATGCCACCAAGAGAAGGAGCAATCTTTGGTAGATTGCTCCAGTGGTTATTCACTGCTACCCATAAACATGTGAGCTACATTTTAATGTGAATTTGTCTGGCCTCAACTTCTCACTATTGATTCTTTTTGGTATTTTGGGGAACAGAAGACTTGAGAAATAATTTTTCTGCAGAAAAAAAAATCTTTCTCTGTTGTATAAACAAATATTCTAGTTACACTTACTGTGTGTGTACTATGTACTATAGTGGGGCTATCTCTCCACCAAGATACAAAGTCATAAAGCCAATTCTCTATTACCTTGTAAATAAAAAACCTCAGTCCTTTAAAATTTTTGTTATGCATCAGTTTTTCTAACCCTGAGCCAGACTATGCATCTTTTCGACCACGTGTAAAATTTTTCAACACTCAGTTATAGATCTGGACATCAGAGCTCTACAGACTATTTGAGTAACATTCTCTTCAGTACTGTACGTGACAGGAGGCAGTGCCTTCCTCATTGCTCCCTCTGCATTGTTCAAGGACACCACCTGCTCTTTTGCCACAGCTTGACAAAACTGGGTGTTCACACAGACTGTATGCCCACTATAATCTTTTGAACAGCAACTATTACACTCTACTAGATAAAATGCTTTACAAAAGCTTTGTAAGTCTATCCAGCTCCCTTTATTGGTCTGTTTTTGTAATCCCATTAAAGAATGAAACCTGGTTTGTTTGATGGAATTTGTTTTCCATAAGATAATGTTGAACAGCATTACTATCCTTCAAGCCATTACCTGTAGAAATCTTTATTTTTTCATGATGTAGCCTAAGATAGATTTCATGCTGATCTATGTTTCCCCAAGTGACACAGCTTATAATTTTTTAATATTGGCACAAATTTGGTCCCCTTGCTGTCTCTGTTGCACCCAGTACACTGAATTTTTTTAACAGTTAACCTTAGTGAGACAGAGGTCTCAGCCAATTCTTTAGGGACCCTTGGGTGCAATTTATTCAGACTTAACTAATTTTATACCATTTAGAATTTACTCTTAGTAGAGGCTGCCTTGTAACCTCCTCGGTAACTGCACACTGTAACATACTTCATCACCCTCTCATGGCAAGATTACCTCATCCTGCTTGCTTCCAAATGCAGAAAGAGAACATTTATTGGACACATATGCCTTCACTTCTTTATCAAGAAAGATAAACCTCTTTGCCTAGTACGGGACATAACCCATTGTTAAAAGACTGCCTTTCTTACTAGTATAATGTTCAAATGCTTTCTTATTACCCTTAACCTTAGTAAGAAGTCTGACTTCTATACACTGTACCTTTATTGGGAAACTATTGCAGTGTACCATCTTTATTGGGAAGCTATTGCAGTGTACCTACAATTTTATCCTGATAGCCACTTAAGTTCATACCTCCATTCATGGCATCAATCCTTATTTTAATCTGGTTGGGTCCAGTCAGCAAATTTCTGATTGCACTGAAGTCAAAGATACTTCGAAGTAGATTGAGGTAGATATCCACAGAATCCACAATTTCCACTAGAAAAATTAGGTAGAAAAAGATCACTACAGTTCACACGTGGGAAAATATTGCTTTCCGCACACTTTCACCAGCCATGTACCTCAACTAAAATCAGAGCATGCAACCTCTGCATAATATGGATTTGCTGTGAAGCCCAATAAAGACGAAGTCAAAGACCTAATGATTTCAGTGTGGCTACCGTCAAGCTTTAAGCCTTGCAAAGGTCAACAGTTTTGCCTGCTAAAGGACTGCAAAGATAATGTAAGTTGACAGTTCCTATTTCACAGAAAACATTCATGAGAGCACATTATATCAAAGTAAACTCTTTATTTATCATTCACTAAATCGCTGAACAACTTTTCAAGCTCAACAGGTTTATTCTCAGAGGATGGAAGACGTCCATGCTGAGTTGAAGCCACACATTCTATTCTTCCATGTGACAGCAGTATCTACCTGCATCTTTCCATCAGGAGAGACATACAGCCTATTCTTCTCGATTTTGGCACCTGAAATGTCTGTCTCCAGTTCGTTGTCAATCTACCACTATGCTTTTGCATTTTATATCTCACTGATTCAGGAAAGTTAGGCTCAGATAAAACATCTGTTTTTTCCTGAGTTCTTGCTAATTTGAATTCTACATTCATAAAAGCAGAGCACTACAATTTTTCTACTTCTTTTGCATGTAAAACCTTAAACTAAAATGAATTAACAAAAGGGAGTCTGTCATAATGAAAGCAGTGACCAAACAACTGTCAAAAGCCATGCTTCTCCATCATCTTAAAACAAATTACTTGTATTACTTGTCCTGATTAAATTACAAAGCATATGTTACACAAATACCTTTTTATCTGGTCAAATGAGTATCTTAAAATATTTTTGTTACAAGTTAAATTATTACTTAGAATATCAGGCAGTTTTCCTCAGAAAGACTGACCTCGCCCTAATGCTCTTCTTTAGGATAACATGACAATGACACAGACATCTTTTGAGCCTGAGAAAAACACTTAGAACAGATTGCAACAATACACTTGAATGGAGAAACAAAAAAAGACGGTTCTCAAGGCTGAAAAACAACCTGTAAAACCTATCCGAAAATTAGTTAATTCTATAGTATCTGTTGAAAGTCTCAAGGATTCACTAAAATTACACTACTGCGCATCTTCTATGCCCTGCTCCTAACAATGTTTAAGGAAGCTCTAAGCTTTACACACATGAATAAATGCCTCAACTTTAGTGGAGCTGCTCACACATGTTAAGATAAAGTGCAGGTAGGATTAAAGTCTAAAAATTATTTTAGCTCCTGCCAAAGCCAATTGGTTTACTCTCAGTTGCTTCAACACCTCTGCAGCCTTGATTCACACAATTTAGTTCATATAACTGAGAAAGCAGAAGTTTTAAATACATCAGATAGTATCTTAAAATACTTTTGATTCTATTATTTTCATTCTTCCTGTATTCAGACCTGTGTAAACTTTATTTATTCATGCCAATTACATTTCTTCAGTAGGGATCCCTGGCAGCTGTACTGTCCCAGGATGATGTATTCTGGGAAGAGATGATTGGGAAATTATTTTTCCTTAGAAAAACATTCAAGAAAAATTGCAATTCTTTTAAATCTATTTTTATGCTACCTGTAGGGGGGGAAGCAGTATCTCATTTTCATTTAGAAAAATACAATTCAGAGAGACTAAAAAGTTTAAAAAGCAAAATTTAAAACTGTGGCAATCATATGACTCCAGAGTGGTGCTAGAGCTGAATTTTCTTTGCTTTTTGTCTGCCTAAAAAGCCAAACATGTTCTTTGCAATCAAAAAAATCATAATTTAAGGGATTTTTAATCAAAAGCTTTACTTAGCAAAATTTACTGTGTCTCAAAAGGTAATATTTTGGTGGAAAATAAACTGGCTTTAATTCTAGGGCATTGGGAATGAGGAAGAGTTCCTGAGGCCACACAGAGTTTCATCATATTTGAAATATTGTCTGGACCCCTTCCTTTGCTTTTGACTCCTTCAGGACAAAATGGCTGTGTTAGCTCATTTTAAATTGAGCGTAGGCATAAAAGTATTCACATGCTTAAAATTAAACATGCGCTTAAGCACTCCCTTTACATTTGGAGTCACTGGATGTATAGCGCCTTACACATCTCTCAACTTTTCAGAAAGTGTGAGCAAAGAATGAATAAACTGAGACTCTCACAAACTCTTTTGTCTTTTGTTAGACTTCCATAAGAAAACCATTCCCAGTCCAAAAATGTTTGTGTTCAGTGTTTAACTACTAGCAAGCCTATGCACATACATTTGGCAAAGTTATTTGGCTAAATGATGAGGCCTGAAGCACTTCAAGTCCGTAACTCAGCTTCTTTATGTGCAAAAGAAACACAACACTTACCTATACTGCCTAATACTTTGAGAACTTGTAGCTAAGAATTAAAGTTCTGTTTAAATAATTACCCATTATCATTCTGCAGCAATTCTAATGTTCAGAATAAATGGACGTAGCATGCATAAAAGCACACATTGATACCTCGGAAAGGCTTGAATTTGTTCTCCAGATCAAATTCTTGTCTTCCTAGGCGTGATAAATCAACTCTGAGATCAGGACAAATGGCATATTCCTCCAAGGTTTTGCTGATTTGATAGATTTTATCTGAAACCATATCTGGTGCAGGTCCTATAAGAAAGAATAATGTTGTGGGTTATTTTTTTTAAATGAAGGTTCCCTACTAAAAAAGTGAGTGCTAGAGCACTTTTTTTTTTTTTTAATATATTGGAGTTGTTATGGAATAAACCCAAACAAAGAACTATAGTAAATAAGGTCTTTTCTTCCAGTGTAACACACTTTTAAAACATTTTTTTGAAAAAATACAACATGGAAATACAGTACTTTATTTGCAACATTTTCATTCACATAGAGTATTTAAATCAATCATTATCTACGGCAGGGGGCATGAGGGAATCAGAAAACCCACAGCCATCTTTCTTTGGGTTTATTGGTCAAAGACTGCCATTTTTTACCCTACATGGAATCTCCACACAGCTATTAAAGGAAAGCCTGTTCTTCAGCAGTAATTCCTGGTGCTTCATAGGGCTTTCTACAAATGTACGCTTGTGAAGGTTAGACATCTTTGTATTTCACTTTCTTTCATTAAACATAATTATAATTTTTAAAAGTCTTACCAGTTAGACAATGGTGACAATGGTGACTCTTGCAGTTTTCCTCCAATGGCTTAATGAAATGTATCTTTGTTAGAATTGAAAATACTTGAATTGCTTAACAAGCGATTATGATGTGGAACAGTTACGTCATTCAGAAACAGAAACCACATCTTACTTGTGCATTACTTTTATTGCAAAATCCTGAAGGTTGGTTCTATTTTTAGAGATTTACTGCCAATCAAATAAAAGTTGTAGGCTTGATGCAAAAATTACCAGATGAGCTATACCATATGTAGTGCAACAGTTGAGTCTGAGTTACAACAAAAGTCCTTTCTGGCTTATCTGACTCTTCATTGCTTACATTAAAGCCACACTTCCACTCTGAAAAATGACTTCCTTTATTCTCTTTTACATGCTCTCTTTCCTAATCCAAAGCCTCTGTCTTTTCTGTGCTAATTTCCCTCTCCTCTAGCAGAGCTGCTTTATTCAGCGCAGCTTTGCCACGTAAATTAGCTTGTTCCATCTTAGATGCAGTCTACCAGATGGTCCAAGGCAATACAGTAAGTAACAGTCACTTAACTCTTCATTTGGCTTAGAAAATGACTTCTTACTCATCTAATCCAAACCCATCCAAGGGGTGAGGACAGGTTTCATTACCTCCAGATCATCCTTGATAGATGGATGTATTGTCTACTGGTTTTTCCAGCTAAGGAAATCCCACAGTGACACTCTGCGTTCTCTCCTACAGCTACAGAAACCAACCACTTCTGCCTGACCTGGATCTGCAAGACAGACTGAGCAAGAATGCAGAGCAACAATAGCCTTCCCTAGGAGCCTGTCATGGTGCCTAACCATTCTCTTAGTTCAAAAGCCCTGTCTAATACTTAACCCACATTTTCTCAGCTGCAACTTAAACCAACTACTTTTCACTACATCCCTACCGGCTATCATAAATAATTGAACCTTTTGACCTGTGCTTGAGGAGTGTTTCATATTTAAAGCTTAATAACCTGCTTGAATTTTCTTTAAAAAGGCAAAGTACACTAAAAAGAATGCCCCGCCAACAGTTATCCATTTATCAAACAGATTTTAGGTGTACATGGTATTTTGAAGTTTATAGAGTGCTAATGCATCTAATGGTTTGGCTCTGGTATGTTTGTGCCGTGACCCTGGCTTCTCACTCTCTGACCTTCCACAGTCCCTTTAATCTCTCTGGGATTCAAGCCTATTCTGTTTATAAAATCACACTGGTTTAACCACGAACATTTTTCAGTTAAACAAGGGATAAGGGACAAGCATACCCTTCTCAAGTTCCCCCACCTTCAAAATGGGGAAGGAAGCATTATTTTAAAAGCACTTTCAGTTTTTTCAGATGGAAAGCACTCTGCATGCGTGAGGTATGCAAGGTGACAGCAATTGTCACCATGTCACCATGTCACAGATCTGTAACATAAAACGCACATAATGTATAATGTACCTACACGCGTTACCTTGCCGATTCTGGAAAACAAGACATTAGCTATATACACAAATTCCGTTATTCAACAGTGGAATTGCGTTACTTGAAATGGTACAACCCTCTCCCTGGGTAAGAGCAGTTATTTCCTGGGTAAACATGAGAAGTGCTTTCTTCCATACAAGACAATGAGTTATACTGCTTATGGCACTTCTGAAATTACACACTTTAAAGTAAATGCCAAGGCAAGTAACACAGATATATGAGCAAAACAGAGCTCCCTCATAGGCATCTTTATAAAAGGATCAGAACTGTTACAGTGATCTGGCAGACTACATAAAATGCTATAAAAATGGGATGACAAACCTCTTTTTTATAGAAAACTTAGAGCTACCACAAGGACTTCAGTGCATATTTAATGCTTATTGTACAGACCCATGTAAACAAATACACTCCTATTACTGAAAAAATAAGATATGCATATGTTCTTCATAGCTTTAACAGAATAAATGAAAAACACATAGTTAAAGTCAGCTAGTTATCCTTGTCAGCATATTTTCGTCATACTGAGATGCAATATTATAATGTGTTATTAAAAAAAACCAACATACCTCCATTGGCAACCTCAAACTTGACTCCAAACTCTCCTCCAGGTCCCCCAGGACTGTGGCTAGCTGTTAGAATAATTCCTCCAGCTGCTTTGATCTTTCGGATGATACATGAAACAGCAGGTGTGGATAAGATACCATTCTGTCCAATAACCAATCTGCCAATCTAGGTGGAAAAGGAAGTCAAAGCAGTCTGAATGGTACTGAACTTTTGAAAATCAATAAACATACACACGCACACATATAGGTATACATGTATAGGGTAAAAATCATAAGGTCCTAATATGGAACCTGTTCTTTAGCAGAGAAATATATGTGCTATAGTTTGTTGCATCTTAACCTGGAGAGCTGACAAAAAATATTGTGCCCTGGCACATTTAACCCCAGTGGCCTGTGTACTGACAGTAAAGCAAGTGCACAGCCATGGTAGTGATTTGCAAAGCTCCGAAGCATAGCACTGGGCTATGATCCTGATATCAAACCTTTCCAGGTAGTCCCACAAACTAGCAAATCCCCTCAGACATCAATATAGTTTAGGGCTGACCATGTGGATGCAGTTTCCAGGACTGGGGCTTTAATGAGCGTAAAGAGCACAGCAAGCAAATTGCCTTTCATGGAGCGGCCTTTCAGTGCAATCACAAACACCACTACATACTAGGACCTGCAGTCTCTGTGAGTCACATCTCTATTACCAAGACACCCTTGGATGTCCTGCCCTATAGAAAATATTGCTCCTCCTCCAGCCATCAGTGACTCCTTGGCTGTTCCAGATGAAGAGGGCATGTTTCTCAGGGCACCACTGAACAGGGGAAGTTCCCACCATTCTTAAACTAAAAAAAGCTTTCAGGTGGTGTTATTAAAACACTGACTCAATGTGTTTGGTATTATGTGCAGTTCCACAGCAAGGTTCCAATTTCAAAACCTTGCCTTCATTCCCTACATAGATACTGCAGTTTCAGCTCAACATAAATAACCTAGAAGCCAACCAGAAATGTATTTACAAAGAAACATGAAAGAGTTCCAGTTCTTAGGAAACAGGCAGGGACAAAAAAAAAAAGGGGGGAAAAGGATATTGCCAAAGTTTGGGGGTTTTTACTATCTTCACTTTAAAAAAAAAACAACACAACAAAGCAAACCAAAAAAACCACCTACCATCACTGAGTAGTAGTTTGGGAAGGGTGGGAGGAGGGAGGGAGGGAGAGAGGGAGAGTCCCTCCCAGTCCCCATCTAAAAGCAGACTGGGAGTTCAACCCCAGATTCCCTTCCCTAGTTGGAGGGGGATTTGATAGCTCTACTGTCTGTGTGGCAAAGCAACAGCACGGGAGGTGTAACTACCTGCTGCCTTTCCCTAAAAAGAGGTGTTTCTTCATATATAGATGACCTTCTTCTGGGTCCAACGTTTGTGCGAGGCACTTAATGCTTATTTTGAAGTGGGATGCAAAATAATTTCAGAAAAGCAAAGGATTAAAGATGATTTATTTAGCCTGGTTTTGTGAACTATTATAACAAAAAACCAAAAGTTTTCTACACTAAAATTATCAACTTCTAAAGTAAGCACAAATTTCTTTTTTGCTAACCCTCACAAAGCTCAAACCATGGTTAGCCATTTCTCTTTCACTGAGAATTACAACATCTGCTTTCATATTTTAAAAAAATTGTGCAGAACAACGCATTCTATTAACTGAGATTTCTACCTCGAGATCTGATGATAGGATGATTGTTTGTCTACCTGGTTCTCTTTTCACAGTTTTTGCAGGTAATTTTGAAGCCTACGGATTGTTGATAGAAAGCAGGAAAGCTATCAAAATTATAAGTACAGTCCAAGGAAAATCTTCACAATTCATTTGACAGGCTCTTGCTACTATTGGGAAAACTTTAAAAGTTAAGAAACAAAAAATTTTGGTTTCTCACTTTTCTACTATAGCAAAAATATTTTCCAGGGAAAACCAGTATCCTTTCCAGGAGAAAAGATGCAAATCAGCAGAATCAGATTATTTTAAAGCAGCGCTTCCACTGACATGGTCAGTTGGTGAGGGTGGAGTGTATAGTGTGCAGTTAACACATATACCACACAGCTTAACCACATTTCTGCTCACTTCAGTGGTACTGAACAATTTTACTTCCTATTTAACCCTAACAACACAGTTTCATTAACCTACGACTGAATAATTAAGAGCAATACCATCTGAGAGGGGGATCTCATCAACACATACAAATATCTTAAGGGCGGATGTCACGAGGACGCAGCCAGACTCTTCTCAGTGGTGCCCAGCGACAGGACAAGGGGCAATGGACACAAACTGAAGCATAAGAGGTTTCAGATGAACATGAAGAAGAACAACTTTACTTTGAGGGTGACAGAACAGGCTGCCCAGGGGGGGTTGTGGAGTCTCCTTCTCTGGAGATATTCAAAGCCCGCCTGGATGACGTCCTGTGCAACCTGCTCTGGGTGAACCTCCTTTAGCAGGAGGGTTGAACTGGATGATCTCCGGAGGTCCCTTCCAACCCTTGCCATTCTGTGATTCTGAGATTCCTTCTTATAGAACCTGATGCCAACTATAACACAAATACCTTTGATTATTTGTGGAACAAAACATACCAGGGAATACAGTTTTCCTTGAAGAACAGATTAGATGTTATGCTAGTGCACTGTGACAGCATTTACTTGTGAGACTCTGTATCACTTTCTGACTTTATGTCTCTCCTGCCTTCCCACTCTTGCTTCTCCCTGAAAGTAAAACTAAACAGTAATTTACAGCAATGTGTATTTGTAAATCTATCAATTTATCATAATTTACAGACCTTAGGAGCATGAGTAAAGGTGTATTTCCTCCAATCTGAGCTGCAAGCCAAGTGAAGCAGCTGATCAAATGTTCTTTCACTGGTTACAGAACAAAATTGGTATCTCTTTTACTGATCAGACTTCTTCACATATATGTAATCATCTTCTTCTTTTAAAACTCTTTTAAATCTCCAAATGCTACATTTACATTTTCTTTACTCAACTGTTTTGAATACTAAACTACTTCAAAAATAATCTTTGGTACAATCCTACTTTTTACCACAGAAATGCAATTCCTACATTGTGGAACAAGGAAAACTTTTTTTTTTTTTTTTAAAAAAAAAAGCAGAAGTGTTTCCAATTGTGGGCTGACCACTGACAGACACACTTTCACCTCAGAAAATACATAGGGTAAAACTCCATCCATCAGGAAAGGCACTGAAACCACTAGCAGCTCCAGCACATGACTTCACATACTTTTGGAATCAAGCTCAAGAAAGAAAACTTCCCCTTGGCCAGATAATTTACTGTTTTATTTAAGCCAGTGCCATGTAAATAATGTGAAAGAGAAAGAGAGATTTTTTCAAATTGTTCTGAATTTGAGTGTGTCCTTTTATGGCTTCTTTTCAGTCCATGAAGTGGCTTTTGAACAACACGCCATGTCTTGCAAGACTGTTGTATTTATGCTGTCATTTAATCACTATTGCCAGTTGTACTGAAGCATTAGAAAAAACACAGAATGTTGGGAAATAGACTTTAACAAACTCTCTTCCAGTCTATACAACAGTCTACCCATGTACCTTTATTACGGAAAGAAAAGCATGATGAAAATATATATTGAAAATGTTTGGTTTAAATATTGCCTCTCCCTTTTCTAAACTATGAAGCATGTAGAAAGCTAGAGCAATGACTCAATCTTCCAAATACAGCTGTCAGAAATGGGTGCCAGGTCTTAAAACAGTTTTGTGTACGGGTAAGCAAAAGGAAGATGACAGGAATTACATTTTGCAAAATGCTTGAAAAGAACGACACTGAATCTATCTTGAGGTACTCAAGTATAAATGCACATACACTTGCATACAGGCTTACCATGATCACATGTTCTCTGTACTTACAAATCTCAGCTAGTGAGGTTTATATTTTTGCCTTCATGCACACCAAAACTGTTTTTTAAAAGTAAGCAAAATACAAAGATTATTCAGAATGCACAAATTACCTGACACTCTCTCTTCACCATATTTTCATATTTTTCCTGTTCAACAGATGTTGCACAAACCAGTTTTCCCATTTTTCTGGATGCCAATACTAAAATTCACTTTGCCTTCAGCGTCTGTCACCAGGCCATTATTTCTATACTACTTAGAAATATTATTCATTATACTAATTTCTGTATTATAGAAATACTGCAATACTTGATATTCTAAATTAAGGGTGACAAAAGTGAAATTACAAGAATGATACACAGATATTTTACTTGCAGTGACTACTGCAAAGAGCTTCACCTTCCATGAAGGTCTTTGGTGCTTTTACGAAACTCCCTGAGGTCAGTGCAGACCTTAGAAGTGTACACATGCTACCCATCTTCCCCTGCTCTCTTCATTTTGGTGGCAAGAATGCACAACCTCATCCTCTCTCGGCCCAGAAGCTGTCCATTTTGTCTCTGAACCAAATACTAAACTGACCTTTAATTAATTTTAAGTAATGAACACTCAGATTTACAGACTTTTCACAACCTGGGCTAAAACAGTAACCAAATAATGTCCATGTAACTGACTCACAATTAAAGTTCCAGTAATATCCTTCTGAAAATCTTGGACAGTTTCATAGCATGGAAAGATTATCTCTGGAATTCAAAAACTTGCATGGCTACGAGATCACAGGCATGTAATGTCTCTTCTAATACTGTGCCCCTACGCCGTGCCACATTCTATTTTGTCACTCCACTTTTAGTAGCAACAGCAGAAACAAAGACCATGATCCTCAGCAAACTGTTAACATCTGAAAGCAGAGTCACCCTAATTTACAAGAACATTTTTATGCAATATTACCACTTGCAGCTGTGCATTTTCAGACGATTCAGTTGATTATCATGGACTCACTTAATGCTTTTTTTAATTATTTTTCCCCAGTAATCTCTCACATGCCTCAGTCAATTAAACCTGAAAGAACATGAAGCAAGCACATTATACCCTGGACAGCATGGGGCTGTGCCTTCCTGTCTTTTACTACAGTATCCTAAAGATGACTGAGCACCACGTCCGACATAGACAGGTCCAGGGAGGGAGCCCAAGATTTGCATGGAAGACCATGGAAAATAAAACCAATACGGTATTATAGAGAAGACAGCTGGAAAACTCTTTGCCATCTCAAACTTCTAC